ACTATAAAACTACTAGTACAGAAATCAAAGAAGAAGGTATTATGTGCACAAGTTGAGAATTTCTTTGTGGAACTTCTCTTCAGCTTCCTAACGATCCCATTGGGTGCCGTAAAACGTTTAACAAAGGATAATTCTTCTCCGCTGGGTATAGATAATTTGTACAATAGTATTTCAAGTTTCGGAGATCGGAAATACTTGAAATCCGAGGATGTCACGACCATGTTACTTTGCCCGAAACTCGCAGCTAATTATCTGCGTGTGACCGACTTTCTTCCCATTTACGATGTAAATACAAGCAAGGGTCATTTCCTTAAGGAACAAACGACATTTATAGTTTCTGATGATCTAGAAATAACAGTGTCACCGTCTATATCAACAATTTCGAAGTTCAACACACTTGGCATTTCTGTTGGTGATATCGAGGTTATCGAAGCGAGCGTAGGTGAACAAGAGGTAAGTTATCATTTAGAAACGTGATTAGGGGTTTAAGACGCCAAGAGACAGTCTCAGTATATTGTTTTAYAAGACRGGTGTGTTATCTAAAGGTGGTGCAATAAGTTTATATAACAAAATTTCGATGTTTTAACAAGTTTTTTAGGACAAATCTTAAAATAAAGCGTTGTATTAATTATTTTATAGGATACATTTGAAAAATGTCCTATAAACACTTTTTTATAAGACATTTTTTCWGATGGTATTCTACAAAATAGTTGGTATGACGTTTATTAAAAGTGTCTAAGAAAATCTAAAGATGCTCAAAAGCATCCTATAAACCTATTGCAACACTTTTAGATAGGATATTTTGATGTTTGATCCTAAAAAGTTATGTGTTGGTGAGACACTTACACAATTTTTATCGTCTTAATATAAATTTAATTTTGTTGCAGTGATTATAAACAAGAGAGGAAGTATAGATGGAATAATAATTGTATTTTGGACACCCTTTTCTTGATTATGCAGGCACTTTTAATCCTCAAAGCTTCTATCACCTCAACATCGGCTTTAACGGATTGCCTCGATGCGCTTATGAAGAAGCCAAAGGCATCGACTTGAAGCCCTAATTCGGTTGCTCATGGATTCAGTCATGATATTTGTGTCTTGTACTAGTATTGTTAATGGTTTACGCTCGTGTGTTATGACTTTGTGTATATGTATATCGTTATTTCTATTGCAAAAATTGTACTTGATGATGGAATAGTTGTGGATTTATATTGTTTAAAATGATTTCAGTTGAGAAAGCCATGATAAAGTGACCCTGATATTTAGGTGTCAGTGTTAGCATATTGAAATCAGTTCCAATTTTTCGTTCAACTTCATCGGGACCTTTGGTTACTAACATTAGAAACAACAAACCATGTTAGCCATATCGAAAACTGAATACTGAAAGGTACCCAAACCTTTGGTCACGGGAAACAAAAGGGTTTTAGCCTGTGGCGGATCCGTAATTTTTACCTAGTGGATAGATTAAAGACCCGCAAAGTCGTCCGATGTGTTTTTAGCTTAATTCCACCTTTTTGAGGAACTTTTTTGTAGATTTCGAGGGACTTATCGGTTTTTTTGTTGATTTCGAGGGACTTTTCCTGTTTTTTTGGTTGATTTAAGAGATTTTTCTTTTGCTTTTTGATTGATTTTTTTCGATGTACTTTCTTCGGTTGGTGGAGGACAGACGAAAAGTCACTAGAGGGAATTATAGTAGTTTTTTTAACCTTCGATAAAAGATATTTTTTATGGGGCCCATCCCCTCACCTTTTACAAACTACATCCACCCCTGGTTTTGGCAACGACTTTTATCGTCACTAAAAGTCCACGTTATAAATAGTTTATAACGGCGACATGTCCTCGTTATAGCTTGTGGTTGAAACATATCGTTGCTAAAAAAAGGCATTGCCAAAGCATACTTTTCTTATATAACTATGGATGTGCTTACATATTCAAATGAGAACTATGAGATTTGATGTCCTTCCCATTTCAGCTCCCCATCATCACTTTCTGAATCCACAGCTTAGCAATTAAGGTGTCATTTATCAAACGCTTACTCGGGTAAGCACTTACCAAGTCATTTTACTTTACCGGATGAATATGGCAAGGAGTAAGAATCTTACCCGATAAGAACGAAGACAAGAATCTCAAGTCTTATCCAGTAAGTGAAGACGAAGACTCTTACCATGGTTAACACTTACCGGGATAAATTGTTGCATACGATGCGTTTTAATGAATAAAATCTTGCCCAGTAAGTAAGCGATATTGTTGAATTTTACCGGGTAAGTGTCTAGATAAATGGTCCCTAAGTTTCAATAGGAAGCCTAATCTCTCATACAAATATGGCACTTGAAGCACGTGTTTAATTTGTTTCAATGCAGATATATCATTTATCAAAAACAAAAATAATACATTATCCAAGTTATAACATATTAAAACTTTTAAATAAGACAKAAATGTGAAACCTTCGAAAATCGTTCATCAAAATGGATTATTATAACTTGCTTCGTAAAGAAATACTCAATCATAACGTTGTTCACGTGTATGATCATTATGGTTATATTTGGTAAACTAACTAATAAGTTAGGAACCGTATAYTAAACACTTACTTGGTAAGTGCTTACCGTATAAATTTCCTTATCGGCATGAGAARGGCCAAAAATCTTACCGGGTAAGAGCGATGAGAACGATGAAGAGTCTTACCCAGTAAGTGAGGATGACGACTCTTACCCAAGTAAGCGTCTGCCAAGTAAATTGTTGCATTCGATATGTTTTGATGTACTAAAATCTTGCGCATCAAAATAAATCATAGTGTTGACTTCTATCGATAATCACTTATCGGGTAAGCAATTGCGTAAACGACCCCTAAGTTTAGTTTCAATGCTGTAATAACAACGTCGTTGATCTTGAGTAAATTACCTGTTTGTGGATTACATAATCCATCAACACATAAATACACATACAAATGGTTGTTATTTGCTAATTAAACTTTAAATCATGTGAAACCAATATGTTTTCAATTAACCATTTTTTTACACTTGAAACTTCACAGCAAAATGTTGTGAAGGTAACTTTCACAATGTTTTTG